AAAAAAAAATCATGTTGGAGGCTGAAGTAGAGACAATATATTTTCAAATAACTTAAGTCTTGCAATGATTCTCCAATTACCTTTAAACGTGTAATAATTACACCAACTGTTTCTCTTCAGTGTTTGTGTTACATGCGAGGTGGTAATGAACAGGTGTGATTCGAAGGAAAATCTTGTTTCTATATACATGATAATATATTTATTGAAAAATACACGTGTGAACGATAAATTACTGAGCCAATCATCAGCTTTTATTAAAATGAAAAATAACATTTCTACTATATTCCTCTAAGGTTGTTGAAGTTTATGATGTAAAATATTAGGCGTAATATTGGCTCGTGGTTTTAAGAGTACAAATATATGCACGTGAACATTGGTTTACAGTTAAACAATTAGGTACCAGCAGTGTCATGTTATTAACATCAACTAGTACTGCTTGAAAACTCTCATAAAATAACAAATTTTTAGCGCAATAAAACTTAAGTTCATAAAGTTATATTTTTTTATTTTCTTGCGTAAAATACTGAAAATGATTAATACTACATTCTTACAGTGGGAAAAACTGGAAAGGAAGAGTCCTTCTCTGTCAACGGCAGTCTGATAATGTTACATCTCAAAGGAGGAATGGTCAGAAATGTTTTTATGTAAATGACTGAAAAGGGAATCTCATAAACATTTAATATTGTCATGGTATAAGTAAGTCGTGAATTTTTTTTTTTTTTGACAGCCGTTTCTAAATGAATATTTTGACGATTTACAGTCTGTTTAATTGTATTAACGAAAACTCGATTGAAATTTGTGGTAATAGAACATCCCGATGTTGTAGAAACAAACAAACAATAATGACAGTATAACACAAGAATGTCCGAAACAATAACGACAGTATAACACAAGAATGTTCGAAACAATAACGACAATATAACACTAGAATGTCCGAAACAATAACGACAGTATAACACTAGAATGCCCGAAACTATTACGACAGTATAACACTAGAATGCCCGAAACTATTACAACAGTATAACACTAGAATGTCCAAAACAATAACGACAGTATAACACTAGAATGTCCGAAACTATTACGACAGTATAACACTAGAATGTCCGAAACTATTACAACAGTATAACACTAGAATGCCCGAAACTATTACGACAGTATAACACTAGAATGTCTGAAACAATAACGACAGTATAACACTAAAATGTCCGAAACAATAACGACAGTATAACACAAGAATGCCCGAAACAATAACGACAGTATAACACTAGAATGTCCGAACTATTACGACAGTATAACACTAGAATGTCCGAAACAATAACGACAGTATAACACTAAAATGTCCGAAACAACAACGACAGTATAACACTAGAATGCCCGAAACAATTACGACAGTATAACACTAGAATGCCCGAAATTATTACGACAGTATAACACTAGAATGCCCGAAACAATAACGACAATATAACACTAGAATGTCCAAAACTATAACGACAGTATAACACTAGAATGCCCGAAACAATAACGACAGTATAACACTAGAATGTCCGAAACAATAACGACAGTATAACACTAGAATGTCCAAAACTATAACGACAGTATAACACTAGAATGTCCGAAACAATTACGACAGTATAACACTAGAATGCCCGAAATTATTACGACAGTATAACACTAGAATGCCCGAAACAATAACGACAGTATAACACTAGAATGCCCGAAACAATAACGACAGTATAACACTAGAATGCCCGAAACAATAACGACAGTATAACACTAGAATGTCCAAAA